AATTAAACCCAGTTTTAACTCAAAACCTAGATTCAAATTAATATTGAAATGCAATTTAAAATGTTAATAAATCGTGAACTAATCTTATACAAATAAATAAGAAAATAAAGCGTTTATGTTTACTTTATTTTCGAAAAAACGGAAATTGGAAATTAAAGTGTATTTTTAATTTCTTTCATTTAATGCCGACAATTCCGATAGTCAGTAATAATTATAAAATGGTCAATTAGCCAATTTATTAAAAAAAAATCTTACATATAATCCATATGTAATTAAATTAATTTAGTTAAAAACAAACTTTGGTATTTGTATTTTCTGCAAAAGGAATAGTTTCTGAGGCTTTAGATGAAATTCCTTAAAACCATTCCTACCTAACAGCATTATGGCATACCTTATCATGAGAATAAGAAAACATAATATCAGGTTTTAACCCGGTAACCGGAGTCCGTGAAAAGTCAACCTACTTAATTCCCTGTTAATAAACATAGACACAAATAAGATAAACAACAATATTTTATATCAATTGCATTGTTTATATAAACTAAGGCCTCAATAAAAGGTTATTTAATAATAGCATGTATGAAAAAGTACGACATTAGAAATATAATATTATTAGAAAAAAGTAAAAAAGAACTTTTGGTTTTGATAATCATTTATAATTTAGACATATTGTTGAAAATATCAAAGTGACTTAACAGAAGTTTTAAATCAGTTTTCCATAGCATACAACTGTATCTAATCTTTAATATCTTTCAGTAGCATTCATTTTGATAATGAAAAAACTGCAATCTCTTACATGTTTTGTTGAAGATTATTTTCTTTGTTTATCATGAATAATTGAATTTCTTTGTTTATATCTCTCAGATATCTATAAACGAAAGGTTTCACTAAAGTAAATAATGCTATATAATATAAATAATATAATACCAAACAACTAAAAACTAAATATTGAATATTCATTTTTATATTGCTATATCTATATTCTTATTAAATTAATACACAATTAACAAAAAGAGTAAAAATTCTAAGTATGATAAAAACTTAGGAAATAACAATCCCAAATTTATTCAATACTATTCAATAAAATGAATTTGATAATTATTATTTTGTCAAACATCTGCGAATCAAAACATATTTTTAAATATATAATTTAACTTTTAACAAATTTAACATAAATTAAAGAAATTAATTAAATCAACAATAAAAGCAATTCAATATAGTTAAAAATGCATCATAATCATGCTTCTTATGTTCTCTTTTCGATTACCTATGGCTTTCTATTTGTGGACTAACTTAACCTAACCTACTATTTTGTTTTACATTATTTGACCAGTGTTATTTTTAGGATCTATTTATCATTTAAAGAGGCAATCTTTTACGCTTTATTTGAGATTTAAATCAATACTTCATTTAGGTAGGTACCAATTAATTTATATTTTTTATTAAAAACACATTTATAAACTGAAATTTCTAAACAAAACATGATAATTAAAAATCAATACCACCTTTTATACCTAGTTTAATATTAGAAATTATTATTAGAAAATTTGTGATAATACTAAAAATATAATTCAATACAAAAATAAAATTGTTTCATTATCATCTTATCAGTAATTTCATTTTAATATAACATATTTTCTTCCACAAATCAAAATCAAATACCTAATTATTTATAATATAAAATATCTATAAAATAACAGTATTTATCTAATTCAAAACTCTGAACATAATTTTTACAAATAGGATTAATATTTTTATTCACTTTTTTGTCAATTCAAAAATATTAACTGGTATGAAAGTGATTCCTATAATCACTAGAGTAGGTAAATCAAAGTATGCATACTTTTTTTTGGTAAATATCTACATTATAATTGTATAACTTAACTATAATTTGTTAACTAAGAATGTATAATAACAATGAAATAAAATGTTCCTTTGTCTAATTATTCATGAACATTATTATTAATATAGCTACTACAAGAAATAATGAAGGAATACAATTAATAATGTTACAGATAGAATCAACTGGTTAAGAATCTTTAAACTAATATATGAAGATTGGAATATTTATGTAAATACTTTTTAAATAACTTTATATAACAATCAATCCATTTTCTTCATACTCTACTAGGCACCTATGAACTACTATCAACAGAATTCTGTATGCCATATGAATAAATACTAACAAAAACAGTTAATTATGAAGTTAATCATAATAATATTGAAAATAATATGGACTGAATTTAACCATTTCAATAATGAGAAATTAAATATTAATTTGAATTCTATATAAAAAGTATCAAAAGTAAAGCATAATAAGTATAAATTCATATAAATTCATAATCAGAAAAATTAAAATATTGATATGATAGTAACAATTTGAATAGGAGCAATATATAATTAATTTTTATCAGAATCTAAAAGGAATTAAAATACTATAAATATTATTTTATGACTATACCATTGGCTATACCTATGCTTACATAACTAATTTTTAAAACCAATTCCAAATTAAGTTAAATCCATTACATTTTATAAGTAAATTCCTGTATGAAAATACAATTGGATAGGTAGGTATTGAAAAAGTCTTATAACAAATAAAAACATGAAAATGTACTATTCATGTTTATAACCTATTAGTAATTATTTATATTCCTTATGTTTGAGTTTAAATCAAATTATAACATATTAACATATTTTAATAAATTTTAAATCTTTAATTTTTAATCTCTTTGTCCCCGTCTTCGTCATATTAACTTATAGATTTATAAAATAGGTAAATTTGGGAGTAAATTCATAACAACTAATTACATAAATATTTTTTATTGAGATGGCTAAAATATACTGTATTGACATTTTAAACAAGTTTTTTATTTGATAAATGACTTAAATATTACACAATGGAACACACTCAGAGAATCACTGACTAAACACAAACTGGAAGCAATATCTTGGTACAATCTTATAAGTTAATAATATAAGTTAATAATGTATCTAATTATGTAAGAATAAATATTTTAAACAGCAATTTAACAATATCTATATTCCTTGCCATATTTTGAGTAGAATTAGATAAATCAATAAATAGTGAACAATTTGTTAAAACTTTTTTTTCTACACCAGTTCAGAATATTAAATATTTTATTATAATTTATTCAACCTGTAATATCCGATTAAGTAGTATAGTACTAGAGTCATTACATAAGTATACCATAGACTCCAATAAGAAATAGAAAAAAAACTAAAAAAAATTAAAAACTAATAACTCTCATTGACTTTATTCAGAAAGATTATTTAATCTTAAAAAAAGTATATTAATTTTGTGTAAATCTAAAATTATATACAACTGGAATACAATTTATAGAAAGACCTTAAGATCCCTTGACATGAAATACTCATTTCAATCATTGATATTTTTGCTCATCTGTTCAATATTGCTCAATATGGTAACTCATTTATTAATTTGTTAAAAATCATTTTTTGTGCTAGATAACTATGAATACAAATAATTATATTTCTATAGTAACTTAAATATAATAGCTACTAATAACTTTATACGGTATCAGATTTCTCATACTACAAAAAATAAAGACTTAACAATATACAATCTTCTTGCATCATAAGTATATTCCATTTTAAGTAGGTTAATCTATTTCAACTTAAATAGTAATAAAATAGTATTGTACTTAAATAACTAGCAAAAATAGATATCATGTATTCATGTGAGCATCTACAATTGAGAATATACACATTAACTATTGTTAATTTTTCATATAGCCAATGAATATACTATATAGAGTTATTTACTAACTGAATCATTAACTATAATTTAAGTATGATTGTGTGTTTATCTACCTATATAAGTACCATCCAGTGAACTAACCTACTGTAAACAAAAATCATAATTCTGATTACAGCTAAACATACTAGCGTACCTAAATATATCTAATGTTTATAAAAATAAAATACCCGATTATCTAAAAAATTCTTGTCACCAAGTATGAATCCTTCAGTTGTTTAATATCATATTTTATACATAAGTACGTATTTATCACAAATAAATACTGAAATAAAGACTTAGAGCAAGTGATAGAAAAATCTAACAATAGGTAGGTAGATAATAATCATAGAAAATTTACAAGTAAGTTTAAATCAAAGTTTAAAATCTACAAATATCATTAAATTTTATGTTTTTAACAGTTTAATCGATTGAAACAAATATAATAAAGAATTAATACTGAATTTAATACAAACATCACACTCATAATTTGTATCCAAATAATACTAATTACAATAAAAATATCATTATTTATTTACCTACAAATTATAGAGCTCCTATGGTTATGATAAAAGCTTGTTTACAATGAGTAGAAAAACAAGGAGGATGTATCTGGCACGTTAACCTTTTTTTTACCGGGTTCTATTGTTCCAAGATTTTTGCCCTACAGCTCACAATATTGATATTTATAGATATAAAATATGAGAATCAATAAACCATAAAATTATTTTTTAAATGATCATAAGCTTCAGTAAAAGGAGCATTTAGCTTAAAAAATTATATTTTCACATTTTACAAATTTAATTTGTGATTACTGTTTGATAGTAAAAATATATGAGGGCCTTAGACTTCAAACTATTCATTTGTATTCTTTAAAATATATTTCTCCATTTCCATGAAATAATTATTATTCATTACCGTAATCACAGATTAGATAGGTACATCAAACGAAGTCAATGGTATCATTAACCATTATTATAATAGCGTTATCTATTTTTATGTACATGGTACATAAACAAAACGAGAAGATAATAAATGGGTCGTTTATAGAGATAACAAATTGGTCATTTACAGCCACATCTATGAGCAGTGAACTCGTAGAATTTGTAGATAGATTACACATTATATTATAGAGGTATCCATTATTGGTCGGTACACAATTTCTCGAGAAAAAAAAAGCCTAAACTTTCAGTCAGACTTTGGTGACTGCAGTTAAACTCACTTTGACGGTCATCCGGCGCTGATGAGAGACAGCAGGTGTGTAACGATAATCTCAAAACTGGAAAAAAACACGCACTCAACACTACAGGAAACGCACTGAGAACCGAGAAACACTGGTTATGAAAAACGCTGGGCAGGATAAAAAAACGAATAACACACTACAACTGCAATGTATTCTTATGTCCGCGGTGCTATTAAATATTGCACATGGAAACGACACGCGTCTGCAAGAAAATTACCAACTCTATTTTTATTTACGGTTTTTCTGCGAACGCGAGACACGGCGGCGGCGTGGACGGAACTATGCAATGGCTGTTGTTGTTGCTGCTGCGTTCGAGAGATCGAATTCTTGCGGTCGTCTGCGGTTGACCGCATTCAACGACCGGAAGGCGATTTTTCTCTTTTACCACACAGCGATTGACAGCAGGTAATAAAAACGCGAAAACCGTTCGTCGATTACGAACACGCGTGTGTCGGTCGGACCTGAAAACAATCGAATACAATCAATGTGCTCAAGCCAGGCCGCACCGGACGAGCGCAGCGGAACAACGGGACGACATCTGCGCGCACACGGAATAGACGTCCACTCGGTCGCAGTAAACGAACTGGTGGTAGTGTCGGTCGGTCGGTCGGTCGGCTGCCGTCAACGGGCGAAGTAAGCGCGCGCGCACCGCGGTGGCTGCCGCCACCGTCGTCTTCGTGGTAGCCGGCACCTGCTGGCAGCTGCTGCTCGCGACGCACGCACGACAACGGGCGCGTCATGGAGGAGAAAAATTATTATTTCCATCACCCTCCCCCCGCACGCCCGCATCGACGTTACGGTCGCCACCGCCGCAACGATATCTCGTCCTTCCCTCCACACTCGGGGCCACCGACCGCCTTTGCGTCCTTTTCATATTTTACCCCTCGTCCAGCGTGCGGTTGTTTCCCCATTACCCGTACACAACTCTACATGCGTCAACATACATATTTATTATATCTTATTGCCGTCGCACTACAACTGCCGTTGAGTTCTTTAGCGCATCCAGTTTCGATAATAAATGTATTCAATTATAATATCAACTAAATATATTAATATATATATATATATATATATACATTTATAAATATATACAGTTGACTGTTAAACACTCGGCTGTTTATAGGTGTTCAATATTCATATAATGACTTCTGCATCCGATTCGCTTCAAAATTACTGCCGAGCTCAATCGCAGTTATAATAATAACCTATTTCGTTATTGCCGATAAATCAGGTGAACACGAACGATTATTGACCGTAGAAAATATGATATGAAGTCACTTTGGTACCAAGAAATAATACGATAGTTTTAAACGTAAGTCGGAAAATATTCAAAATACGAACCATTAAATATTCCATTCATAATATAATCTACACTATATACTGATATACAGTGGCGTACACTCGATTTTCTTATGGAGCGGGTATTAGATTATGCACATAGTTTTTATGTCAATATCTAACGTCTATTTTTATACTTCTTCGGACGAAAAATAAATGTTCTTATGATTTCATCATAATTGAAAAATTCTACATTTTATACACACGTTAAAATATTTTTTATTCTAATCAATTTAAAACTGAATTTTTTTTATTTCTTATAGCCCTTGGAAGAGATTTATCCCGACCCCCCAACATTATTTTTACATCACTGCTGACATATATTTTTAACACCAAATTTCATAAACAAGATGATTCAATAAGATTTCTTAAAAAAAAATCTTGGAAACTATCCAAAATTTTTACAAGACTAATTTTACAGACTAATTACCTATGAAATTCGTTATATTATTAATATATTTTTATTCACTTGGTCTTTCAAGTTATATGTAACAGCTAATTTTTCTGGTTGAAATAGAAAAAATAGTAAGACGTATTCATAAATTTTAGAACTATCAAAATGGTGTTCGTTTTGTTGTTTATCTCAAAAAGAGAACATTTTTCAGAATGGTATTTTTTAATATTTAAACGAGAATCTATATTTTTATTTCATAAACTTGATTGATAAACAGTTTATATAGAGATATATAAATAAATAGTAATAATATGTAATGCACCTAAAGTATGAAAGATTCTGTATAAAAATAAACGTCTTGTAAAACATAAATTTCGATATTGTGTAAGAAATAACTCAACTTTAATTATGAATCAAAATTTTATTTGTTAATGGAATATTATTTTTTAAAAGTTCTAGCAAAACTTAAATAGTTATTCACTTTAGTATACTATTTAGAAGTTATACCTAAACCTATTTTTATAAAAATATAAAAGTTTAATGCTATCAGTTGACAGTTTTTAATAAAAAATAAAATAAAAAATATTGAACAGTTGAAATTATACATAGTTGTAAAACAAACCACTAAAATAACAAGTTTTATCTTTGGCAGTATTAAAAATGTGTGTTTTTTTATTTATACTTCTCTATAGCAGAGCCAAATCACCAAATTATTTATGCGATTTTGGGACCAATTCGAAGATCAATGTACAAAGTTTTTCAATTTTTTAAAACATTTATTGCCTACAGCACTTTCAGTATTTATATTTATTTCCAATAAGCAATGTTAAAAATTTCATAAACATCAGCCAACATTTGATGGTTAATAATTCGTCGTATTAACACAGAACTGTAATATTTTTAATACCAATTTATATTAACTTCAATTTATATCAATACTACAATAAAAATATAATCACCGTTTAGAAGAGAGGGGAGAAAGATGAATAAATAATGATTTGTACTATAAAGTATTATTTACCTACCGAGACTACTAGACTTATAGATAAATTTACTCCATAGAAATAATTAAACTGGTTAACTATCCAGCCTTGCTACAGTCACAAATAATGTTGAATTAGTATAATATAGTCCATGTATAATTAAAAATATACGAATAATAAATATTATGATACACTTTGTAATATATTGGTTATCTTTTACAATACCTAATTTATTTTATATTTGAAATATACATAACAATAAAACAATAAAATATTTGATAGACATTAAACTTGTAATTAAATAAGAAAAACATAATGTAACCTCATATTTTTCAAGCTACTAATGGTAATGTTACGAAGTATTGTTTTTCTATACTTACTTTTAAAAATAATTTTTTTTCAGTTTAGAAGATATATATTTACTAATATGTATAATTTTACGCAAAAAATTAAATAATTTTTTCTGTAAATACTTTTTTTCGAAGTTTTCTATAAAAATATGATATTAAAGTTACATGCAATTTTAATAGATTTTCTACAATTATTTTTTCAGAATAAATAAAAAACTAATAATTTTATAAACATTCTATAATTTAAAAGTATTTATTAGATAGTATTTAAAAGTATATATTAAATATTTATATATATATATATCTTAAAATAAAAATAATTAATAAAATAATTTTATAAAATTGTCTATAACGTTAAAAACATTTAAATTGTGCTTGCGTAATATTTTAATTTTATGTAAATAAGATAAATTATCTTAATTTAAATTAGTAGTTTTCTTGAAAATTATTGAAAACATAAAAGTATATTCATATGTATAGTTACTGTGTAAAAAAACTTTATGATGTAAATACATTTTTTTTAAATTTTATATTTTCCAAAAAAGGTTAAAACCATGTCATAATTTTTATAATAAATTCGATATTTTTACGGTATCTATGTATAAGAATACTATATTAAAATAATAATATGCAAAATGAATTAAACCCGCCAGGACCTTGGTTTTACATAAACTTTTACAGAGTTTAATTATGCTACGGATTTATCTCTTTAGTTATCTTTAATGAAAATTAAAACAAACCTTTTACGTCTTATAAAATCAGCTAGTCTAATAAGAAATTTTATAATTACGAGTATTTACTTCGCAGTTCATTAAACGAATGACAAGATTAATAAATAAAGTCTGTTTATTGACCGTACAGTTTTTCATGAAGTACAAGTAAACTATAAAATCAAAACTATTTTTCAAACACAAAATTATGTAAATAAATTGGGTTGGAGTTTGATGCATATTATAATATAATAACTCCATAAATGTAATTACCTACTCGTTTATTCAATTAGATAACACATGCTTACACATATTATGTGAATCTCTTTAATTTATACATTTACTATAAATTATTATTGACTTTCGTCCCTTTAGTTTTTGAAAACTTTCTGATTACTAACGGATTTTATTAATACGGTTTTGGTAATAAACTACTGACATTTGAAACATGAAGGTTTTAATACTGAATATGATACCTTAGATATTTAAATAATATTTCGAATACCATTCTTAAGTCGAATAATAATATTCTCTACACGGTGTATACAAGGTAAATATCGTGATTTTATGAGATACCTGTATCAGTGATCGAGAGATGACCAACAGTGGAAGTATAATACATTTACCACTATAGACTATGAATATTAAAAACGTTATTGAAAATATTGTACAACAAAAATGAAAACAAACAATAACGTAAAATATCGATGTACTGTACTCGTATAAATAAATAATCATAATATGTTATAATTCACATACTGTTATTAGGTTAGGTTATTCAATTATTGTATGCCCTTTCATGTATCTTAGTGGAAATTTTCATTTTCAGAATTTTAATAATAAATCATGATCGAACGAACTCACGTTTAATTTTTAGAACAATGCAACGCAACGTTTGCATTTAATCATATAATAGTAATGTCTATAATGTATTCTATACTTTAATACTTGTCACTATTATGGATTTATGACTTACCAGAGGGTTAACGCTTTTTGTCTTTTATTATTTTTCGTGAATGCGTAATTCGTACACTATACAATGGACGTTTACCGGAAAGTAAATTATCTAAAAGTTATGCTGTATTTATATATATATATATATATATATATATATATATATATAACATAGTATAATTATTACCTCAGTTCCATAGTGAGCGCGTTTTCATAACATGCGAAAAATTAATTGTGTTTGCAGTTTCATACTATTATTAAGAGTCCAAGACAACTGCGTGGCGGTAGTTATTTGACCTCTCGCAAGTCATACGTAGTATAGCCTAAGAAATATCTCGACGCCATTGTTGTTCATATAATACCGAACCAGACAGGAAATTAGTGATCGGGTACAATTTTCCACGATTTCCGAATGAAAAGGGCTAACCACGGTTCATTGAGACCACCCAACCAAACCAATACCTAAATGTCTTTGTGTCTATAATATAAAAGTTTATTCCCTTTGATGTGAGAAAATAATTTTGTGTATCACATTTAAACGCATAATATTTTTTGTACGATGGCATCAAACATGGTCTATAGTTTATAGTCGAATATCAAATAAACGTCCATCTGTTGTAGATACATATAAAAAATTATAGAAGTTACAAAATATTTACTAAACAAAATTGTTTTGTTAAATAATTAATTGTTAAACTAGATTTCACTCTTTTTGACCAACTTATAATATTTGAAATTTTAAGTGTGTAAGTGAAGTTGTACTTTATATTTTACACCAGTTATATCTGTTGAAACCGTGATTATTTATTTTGCTTTCTATTTATAATTTTGAATAAAAATGTTATTTGTTTATAATTTTAATATTTTGTTTTATGATCATCGATTAAAGTCAATTTTCTA